TTATTAATTGTTATGTAATGTAATGCAATAAGTAATGTTAAATATTAAGGGGTGCATACTTGAATAGAGAAACATTTTTATTATTTTTATATTAAGAGGTACAAACAAGTTGCCTCTATGGCCGAACGGTCACCATGCTAGTCTGCCACGCAGAGGGTTCGCTACCCGGGCCAGGACAAATATTTGTGAGACCTAGATTTATTTCTCTTGTGAGTTTGGGTGTAATTTGTGTTTGTCTATGTGTGTTCATGGTACATTGTTTTCCTAGTGCGGGGCTAAAAAAGCATTTCATCGCTTCTTAGTTAAGTCTATAGAATCTGCTCTCACGTTGGACATGTGTGTAATTAAGTGTCTTAGAGGAGACAGTATTTAGACGCTAATACAGTCCATTGTACGGTGTCACATATCTTTTTCTTGAAAAATCCTATATACTCTGTAAAAGAATTTATGGACTTTAAATTGTAACGAATTCAGTATTTTCTATTTTTATATTTTTATTCTAATTTTTACCGCATTAACATGCTCTTGTATAATTATCAACTTATGACGATCCTTGATGGAGAATGATATTTGATATGTAATTTAATGACAACAATATTATATAATGAATTGTTAATTTTCTAATTATTGTGTGCTTTTCTTATAATTTTCCTTTTTGTCTGAAGATCTCAATATAATTTCTTATACTTTGACATGTAGTGCAATTTATACTGTAATGTTATATTTGAGAAATATCTGAATCTGAATCTGAATCTGAATCTTTTTTTTAATAAACTAGGATGCAGACGAGCCACTTGATGGCAGGTAGTCATCGTCGCAGATAGTCATCTGCAACATCAAATGAGCTGCCTATGTGTTGCCAGCCATTGAAAGCCCCGTCACATAACCCCAACTCATAGCGCAAATGAAAATATATGGTCTCCACCATTCCACATCGTGCACGTTTGAGGAAGGAATGAACGTGATGCCCGCGTGATCACATAATACCAGGCATATGTAAAGACAATAATGGAAACGTGACGGTGGCACCAGTTCGAAAAGTTCCTCCAAGCACTCACCATTATAAAGACGGTAGAACACATAAAGAGAATAGTCTCTCCATAGATTAAGGGATTCCAAACCGTCTGGGGGATAGGCCAAACTCGTCGGCTTAACCCTCTCCTGAAACCCTTAAAAAACCTTGAAACTTTCGCAAAAATCCAGGGCGTCGTATTGGTCAATTTTCGGGATGCCATAATGCCATAACGGGTTTAGCGTGTATGTCACACCTATAAGAAGGATAGTCCCACATAACACTTGAAACTTCCCGGCTGGAGGGATGTATAAAGAATTTCTCTCACTTAAACAAGAAAAAAGCAGCGTTCTAATAGAGCCCTTGCCCGACTCATTCCAGTGGCTTCGTATTTAGATGACGATGCGATTGGTATTAGCGTAATTTTGCCGTGAAAATTCTCCGATCGAGTCTAATATTCGCCTCTCCCCCTTATCTTCAAACTTGATTGGACAAGTCATAAACGTCCAAGCGCCAATCGATCGATTTGTCTCGACATTCAATTGAACGCTTGACCGTCATTTGGGTCCTTAATTTTCGGTGCCATTTAGTGAAATGCCTGGGCAGTTTGGTGAATGGTTGATTAAATCATTTGATTGCGACATTCACAGTTACTATCTTTTTTTTTGATACCAATTCTGGGACGAAGTCCACTATGCCTGTAATTTCACCAGTACCCTTACTTTTCAAAACTGAACGCAGTAATGCTCACATAATTCCTTGGCGGCAGAAATAGGTAAAGTGGTAGTACTTTCCTGGACGAACGTTTCACAAGGAGCTTATTATCTTCATATTTATTATTATTTTTATTGCCACAAAATTACTGCTCTGATAATGTTTATACGGTACCATTTAGTTGAAGCTCGTTTGTAGCAGTGGGTTGAATCGCTTGTCCCCTTGATTTTGAAATTTAGCACATTGAAACTAAAATAATTAGAATCAGCTATTTGGCTTTTAGTCTTTCTATTACTTAGTAAGCGTTTAATTTCTTTAACTTAATCGTAAAATCACGTTAAAATATTTTTAATGCCCAAGTCGTGTTTTTTTACCAACCTTAAGCAAAATTTTCATTAAAATATTAAGGCAAATTTAAAGAAAATCCAAATTCGTTTCGGTCGAATTAATTATTGGATCACTTGGGAAAGGGAAACAGCTTGAAACCGTCATTACTTATCATAAGTAAACATAGCAAGGCTACTGAACCATTGTTTTATATCCGCGTTCATCTATGAAATGCAAGTGTCAAAACACTACGCCATTTTGGAATTTTATTACAATAGAAAGCATTATCGCAATCGTTGACGTAAAACCCACGATCGTACCGCGGGCGCCGCGACACAGCTGACAGCTACACGTGTGTCAGTTTTATCACACAGTGACAGTTCTGTGCGGAATTTTATCACAACGTGACAACATATGGAGTGCAATTGGCGGTAAATTAGTAACAAAAAAACTTTAAGTTTTACTTGAAAGTTATTGATAAAAAAACCTTTAGGAAAATAATTTATTCACGTGAATTTTGCCTGGCGTTTGTTTTGAAATTAATTAAAATTATGGTGTACACAAATAAATTAATAATCACCTATAGTTGGATAACTTTTAGCTTTACTTAGTAGTACTTAGTTGTTCTCTATCTAATTTCGGTGGCAATTTATATTACATATTTAAGTATTTGATTATGTTGTAGTGAAATATGGGATTATAATTCAGGATATTACACTCCAATATTAAATAATACTTCATAATAACATTGTAGATTATAACTTCATGATACAAGGAATATTCAGCTTCAACACAGTCTCATTTATAAAAATGGCAAAAGTGAAAATTCGACATTATCTCGGTTGTTTTCGAATAAATGTCCTTCTGATCAGTCATAAAATGCAACTTTAGGTAATTTCAGACAGAATATAATGTCGACATAACGTTTTCCATTTTTTTTACCGAAAACTGGAAAAGTTTCTGTATACACTCATAACAGTACCCATAAAATGAAGATTTTTGACTTATGACACTGTTGTAGCTGGTGTGCGATATAATTTTCACATAATATAAAAACAAAAGCCTAGTCCCTGCATTTTATAATAATAATAATAATAATAATGTGCCAGACCATCACAACAATTGCAATTTTTTTATGTAAGTGTTCGATCTTAAGAAGATATCCATAATATTAATCTTAGAACTAAGTCCAAACCCTTGGTAACACGTTTTCGTTTAACTAAGGTAAGCGATTCTTTTATGGGGAACTGCATACGTTTTTACAATAAGATTCCGCATATATTAAGATCACCGTTTCCTAACTTTAAAACTTACATTAAAAGTATTTTAATTGAAAAGTCATATTACAAATTTGTAGATTACGTGTTAGGTAAAGATGTATGGAAAGACAACGTGAATCTAGTTTCCACACAAATATGATTCAAAATGTGTTCTATAGCATTTAGGTTTATTTGAAAAGAGCAATCCCTAGAGAGTTTCTTGCTTGTTCTTCTCACGGGGGTCTATAATAAAGTCAAAGTCTAAGTCAAATGATTATTTGACTTAGACTTTGACTTTATTAAGTAAATACTCAATCAGAAAAGCTGCCATGCCGAAGGGTTCACAAAATTTGTAAAACGGATGTATCGTGGCTGGTAATGTATCGTGATTGGTAAATCACGTGTTAGGCCAGCACGGTGGACTACCACCAAATCCCCCTTCTTATTTTGATAAGTTTTGATCCGTGGGACGTGTAAAGTTAAAGCAACAACTTTTAAATAAAAGTTTTACAACGAAAATTAATGAAATCTCTTTGTTTGAAGTTCCCGTCAAAATTCCTTCCCAAGTTTTCCGACAGCCAACGGTGTTAATAATAAAAATACAATTTGCGCGTTGATGTTTAAACGACAAAGAAAGGTAATATCTCGTATACACTGTCACTTTGCTTCATAGTATGTGATGTACAATGCCAAACAAACAAAATAATTAATTTCATTTCACGGGTTCTACGGTTACTGATTCGTTTTTTGGTCAAATAAAAGAACTTTTCATTTCATTGGCTACATTGATTTATGTACGATGTTGTCTAACATTAGATGATGAAACAAACTTCAATAAATGAAGTTCGATGACTATTTTGTGAGTCGCTTCATTCGAAGATATAATATTTAACCAGGTAGTTTCCTTAACTTGCTAGGCAACACCGCACGGTTTTTGGAGAAAACAATAAATGTTTTGACGTTGACACTCCCTACCAGGCATCAACCGCCATTTTCTATCCTCATTTCTTTTAGAGTGGGAAGCAAAACTTATTTGGGAGTTTCAGAATCTTTACTTCTGATATCACGATGTCAAGGGAGGGTGTTGATTATATCTTCGAATGAAGCGACTCACATAATAGTGATCGAACTTCATTCTCGATATAATATTTAACCAGGTAGAGTTTTAGAGTACTCAGTTTAGCTTCTAGTTGATTTTACGTAAATTAAAAACCAGAGGCTTAATCGATAACTATATTATATTTTAGGAAATGAAACTGTTTTTCCGGATTTAAATCGCGTATATTTGTTTTCTCAAACAAACCGACGTTTCGGGCCCTTTACAGGTCCCATGGTCACGGTTGACCATGTTCATGTTCATGGTTCAGTCAACCGTGACCATGGGACGTAACCATTTAAATCCGGAAAAACAGTTTCATTTCCTATGTGTAACAATCGCGAAATTCTAAGAACTCGATATATTATATTTTTATTAAAAATATATATAGATATGAACATATAACGGTTTTTTTTCCTGAGATCACAATCACAACAATTTTTAAATCGTACAATCGTATAATAATTGTATAAATAAAGATGGTTATTATTATTAATTTAGAATAGTATAATTTGCCGTTTTATTATGTTGTAAGCAAATGGTTCTTGCGAACGTGTGTTCGTCTTCAGTAAGTGTTAGTCTATTATAAAATCTAGTAAAGGATGTGAGATGTCGGAGTCCAACTCGCAGCCTTGCGTATGAGCCCTATCGGCATCTCAGCTGCGCGCGCGGCCGGCGCGGAGGCGAACCGCGTGCTGTGCGCGCCGAAAACTGCTGTGTCCACACTTACCGCGCCGCATCCTACACCTGCCGTACACATCGGCTCACGGCTTGACTCGTGGCTACTCTGTGGAGAGCTCTGTGTGTCAGTAAGAGCGTTCCTTGACGTCAAGATGTCTTTTTTGTGTTACCAAAATATAATGTTTGAAAACTGCGACAAGGCAAATATTTTGATCCCCTATAAAATATGGAAAATTTAATGTGGTCTGTACGCGACCAGGCGCAGATATTTTGATTAAATCAGGTATCGCAATTTTAATCGGAATATCTGATATTTGTATGTTTTTCATTTTAATTAATGCTAGTTTGTACGCGGTAGAAAGTGCAAGTACAATAACATGTTTTTTCGTAAGTTTTTCAAGAGGAAGTTCTGTGTTGGGAAACCACGTTGAAACTAATGCGAGAACGACTTGGGGATTCCAAGTATTGCTAAACTTTGGTGCACTGGGTTTCAATCTAAATGCGCCCTTAAGTAATCTTTTTATGCGGGCGTCTGAGCCTGTTTCAGGCTATAAAAGAGATAAAGCAGATTGTTATTATTGCAAAATTCTCACAAGAGCTTTAGGGACACATTATATTGCCTAATTGTATTTTAAGAAAGAGAAGCTAAGGACTCCGCGGGAGGCGAAGGTGATAATGGAAGGCTGATAATGGCAGGAAAGGTAAGGCTGGTGTGCAGTTGGCATCCTGTACTACCCGCGCCACATACGCAATCCCAACCGGTGCGCAGTGTATCTGTATAAATTCTAATTTAAAAGTTGAGGTTTTCATATACGATGAAGTCGAGTAAATATTGTCTGTCCACCAACTCAAATCACTTAGAATTATATCTGGAAGGTAAATTGTTGTTAATTAGTTACCGTCATGTTTTTGAAGACTTAGACATTTCTGAATTTCCAGTAATTTTGTACATAACCAACCGTATTTAGATGCTGTGCAAGCTGAGATGAGAACTCCAATCAATTGAGCGTACTTCCGTATGGTACATCGGGGTAACATCATTATTTTTTAAAGTAAAATTGTTTGACGTTTTTCTAAAGGTAAACTTATACTTAAATTTCATGAATCAAAATTGAATCTTAGAAATGTACAAACTTGACATGGTTGTAACACAGACTTAACGATGAAGCCTACACATTGCAATAAGTTAATGGTTGCATTAACATTATTGATGCATCGTCATAATCAGCGGCTATACAACAAACATCATCTAAATATACCACGGACTTAAATCCTTGTTGTCTCAAATGTGTTACAACTTCTTTCATGATTTTGGTAAACACTTTCAATGCTGTGGACAAGCCGTGTGTCAGAGCAGTAAATTCATAGGTTTCAATTTTATTCGAACCACAAGGTAAATACTGAAATCTGTGGTACATTCGGTCTGCTTCGCAGGTAGATGTCAGTGAATATGTACACCTTTTTCAATGCGAGGTGTCATTTTTGTGGCAATTCGATAGTCCTGCATTTTAAAATGAGTTTTTATTCTAGATTAGATTAATTTCAAATTCACAATGTCATCTTCAAGGCTTAGCTGGTTTATGTTTCAGCATTTTTCAAGGTAATCTTAATAGATTCTATTTCTGATAGCTAAATTTCTCTAAGTGTAAGCCTTTGGAGGATGGAAACAAATAGTCTAAGATGTAAACACTTAAGCATGACCCTAAAGCGGGAAAGAGATGATACTATACAAGTCATATAGCGTTATTTCTTTCCTGCTTTTAGCGAAAAATAGATAATGGGATAACATTCGTTTTCTCTCAATCACCTTTACATTTTTTTTATATCATTGTTCCTTCTCATATCTTTAACAATAATAACGCGGTAATAAAATTAATTAAAATTTTTCGTGTTTCGGGATAGGCTAGGCATCAAAACCAGTATGGTTTAGAAAGATCTTGAATTAAACACGAATTAATTTTTTGAACGATATCAAGTGACGGGACAAACAAGTGGTGTACTTGATGATAAGCGACACTCAGAGCTTTCAATCGTAAAGATTTGAGAAGCACTGACACTGCACCTGTCACTTTGAAACATAAGTTAACTAGTCCCATGTGCTTGATATTTCATAAGTTCAAAATCGGATCTTCTGCTTTTTGTTGGGGTTTGTTTTGTAATTTATCTAGCTAGGATTCTAGTCTTTCAGTTGAAATATTACAAATAATGGACACAGAAAGTAATATAAAATAATTCATTGTAATACAACAAGGTTTCAATGTCCTAAGTTTGTGTCCTAGAAGGTAGTGGTAAGGTTCCCGTTTTTATTGATGTGACCAAGCTACGATATTAATAATAGAAAATAATCATCTGTTGTTTTGTTTATATGCGTGTCTGTGCTTGTGTAATAAAGTTTCCTTTCTTTCTTTCTTTCTTTCAATAACAAACGGTATATTTCAAAACAAACGCCACTGTAAAACATTTAACGTTCCTCTAGTTGTTTAGAGTTTTTAAAAATGTCGTTCCGAACCTCAATAAGCTCAGTATTAAGAGCAAATTGCGTAGAAACGATCCCATTCTTGCTCGGCGACTGCGAATGGCGGCTTTTGTTGAGGAAAAATACGATTATTTGTAAATTTATTTGTTGTTTCTTAACATTTTAAGAAGGGAAAAGAAATCTCTATTAGAATGTTTTATTTATTATTTCCTTATACAATACGCACTAGCAGTTACTTTTTCTGCCAAAGGTGTTCTCCAAGGAGTGGTTTTAGGGTCACAGTTTATTATTATAGACAATTGACCACTTCATTAACGATGTCGATGAGGTTCGTGGTTCGTCTTCTTCTGACAACGTTATTTTCATCATTGAATGAATTACCACTGATTTAGTAGCTGCAGAGCTTCTTGTCAAAGAGATCGTCTAAGGAAGCACTGATGTAAGCAATACTGCATTCCGGTTTTGAAGTGTAAGAGCGCTGGTAAAATTACAGGCACATAGGACTTGTCAATTTTATCTCAGGATGATGAGCTCGAGGCAGTGCCCCTCAGATCTTTGCGATCGGACGTGTCGTTTACCACCAGGCGCACGACGTGTTCGTCCCGTTACTTAAAAAAAATCAGATCTGCACATTACTCGAAAAGACACAAAAACCCTTCACAGACATAGAACCTGTAATTTAGATAATTTGCAAATGCTACTATTATGCTACAATAATCAGTACGTTCATAACTTTCAAAACTTATTCCTATGGTATCTTTTCCCCGACACGCACTTTACTGGTATCTAGAAGAGCGTTGGCCAAGTAATTATGCTATTAATTACCTCCGCGTTTTTCTTCCGCTCACTTCAACCCCCTATCGTCCTATTAAGAGGGGGCGAAAATTTATTCTTCCTTCAGATTAAACGCGAAAAAGAACTGTTGAAAGAAACGTAGCGCGAGTTTGATATTAATTCCATTGATTTCATTACTTAGTTAATTTAATTGTGCTAAGTTTTTATTGAAGAGAAAAAGAGCTTAGCTATCTAACTATGTGGGTTGATACAATAAAGTGAAAAGTAATTTTTGATGGACTTACGTAAATCCTTTGTGTAAGCTCGCCATACTTCCGTATTTACATTTGGAGGCGATTTCTATGTTTTCAAGGTGAATGCACTTGCTTTCGTTTTTCTGGTTGCCTTCAGTGTTTACACTTTAGGTTAGCTACTAAACTAAAACGCATAATTGGATACTGTGTTGTTAGAGAGAATAGATTCTGGTGTTTCTTTGCAAATAAATTTCTTCGGTCGAGTGTCGAACATCAACAATTCCCGAGGATGCCTTGTAGGGAGGCGAAACACGTATCTGATACATTTTTGGTGGTGGGTGTGTTTGTGACTGTAGTTGCGCTTGTGTTATTTCTTTAATGAAATTTGTGCGTAAGAAGGGTGTGAAAAAAATTGCATAAAATAAAATTAACATAAGCGCAGTTATTTTGCACGATTTAAATCTCAATAGGTTCTTTTATAATTTCGCAACTGCCTTTCCATATTTGTGTGTCGAAGCACTTTACTGGCTTAAAAATACAGTTTGTTTTTAGCTAATTGACTTTGGTTTAAATTTCACTGTTGGACATGGGTGTTCATTCCTCTCTAATTTCATAGTTCGCTTGCCATAACGTCAACCCTATGGCTGGAAGAATTTGGAATGTCTTCCAAAAATTGGGTCACTTTTCTTTCTGTTTACACCGTATTAATTTATTCTACTGATGAGCATGGATCTATAACTTTAGGGTTAACATAGAATGGTTATATTTTGTGGCAATTTAAGGGCCCTAATAGTTTAATCTCGTGAGCCAGTCGCGTCTCCAGCGCCGTGTGATTTAGCACCGCCATAACTCAGAATTAACTGGGCTTGATCATTTTTTCCTCGGCTTATTATAATTGTATGTAAATGTGAGCCACTCCAAGGGAGATAAATTTTGAACGTAATTGTGAGGTTGCCTTAAGCGGGCGGGAAGTATTTTTGGAGTAAAGTTACTGTTATGGTTGCTTTTGGTGTTATTTATGTATCTTAGTTACACGACACGGTTGTTCCTGAGCCTATTTTTCGTGATTTGTACAATGTCACGCCACGTTCCATTTTATGTTTCTTGTCTTTAAATGTAAATGGGGCAAGAGAGGTTTTCCATGATCGTGAAATGTAACGATCAATTATTATTGTGCATATTCGGTAACGCCTTTAGTAGGAATAAAGGCCTTCTATGATAATAATATCAAGTGACCTCAAATTAGGAATTTTTCAGTATTGTGAGCATCAGAGCTTCGTAATCCACTCCGGAGCCCTACACAGAACACCCAAGCCGGGACCTGCTCATCCATACGGTGTACAGCGTTCCCAAAGGAAGCATAAATAATAGGACCGGTCCTATTTCTTGTCTATATTAACCAACGATGCACCCTCCCCGGTGGCAAGATCATATCTTACGCCGATGATACAGTCTTACTATTCAGTGACTCAAGTCGGGATGAAGTTTTTTCACAAGCCCAATTTGATTTTAGCTCAATAACCGAGTGGCTTAAAGCGAATTTCCTTTAGACTTAATAGTAACAAAACCAAATATATGGTTTTCTCGTACAATATCTCCTCAAAACCTGTTGCAAATTTTTTCTCAATAGTAGCTGATATTGTATAAGTCCTCGAACTCAATGCCCCTGTGCTTGTCCAAGATAGGACTGCACAAGCAACATAAAATATTTGGGTGTCATAATCGATCAACATCTTAATTTCAAACAATCATGTTGTAGCACTTACTGGTAGAGTTGAAATTTTTTTATGAGGTTACTCCACTATATAGATTTTAAGACTTTCGTGGTTATTCACTAAATGATTATCACTAGTATCAGGTTTCTTACCACGGTATAACTTCTTTTTATTTTCACGGGTTGACTTGCCAGTCAACCCGTGACCATGGAGCGTGCAACCGTTCCGAAATATCGGGAAAATAAAAAGAAGTTATACCGTGGTAAGAAACCTGATACTAGTGATAATCATTTAGTTACTCCACTAGTTTGTTATAATTATTAATACGAAAGTCGAACACTTAGAAAAAATTCCTTCGATTCGGCCGGATTCGAACCGACGTCTTCTAGCAAACCGTACCAGACGCTATGCCAACTAAGCCACGGAACGAACCAGTGGACCTTACATACTCTTCTATGTGCTTGTTATCGGATCTTCTGTATTTGGTTTTTCAACGAAATGTTTTTAAAAATTGCAGATATGCGGCTAGCGATGCTCTTCTCAAATCAGTATATCAGTATATTTGTCAGCCCTTTGTCAATCATTGCTACTTTACTGCATTACATATTGGGGCAGTGCGCATAAGACTAGCTTGATAAACCTAGAAAGAGCGCAGAGAGCTGTTCTTAAAGTCATCAATTTTCATGCTTTTGATTACCCAACCCACAAACTCTTAAACGAGTGCGACGTCCTCTCTGTTCGGCAACTGTTTATCCTACAAAAAATTTAAAAAAGAGCACTAAATTACTCGTGGAGCCACACGGAGGCACAGCACACTCGCATATATACTTCTGCTTCCTTGGCATCTTTACTTTGAATTAAATTCTACTTTGCATTATATCGCCATGAATAAGATAGAATGTAAAAAGCCTGTCAAATCCTGGCTTAAATTAAGACGTATGGTGATGCAGAAGGCTTGCTAGAAGTTATTTCATTATTGTATTTATATGACGATTAATTTGTATTACATAACTAATGATAATTATATGTTTTGTTATTAAATAAATATAGCAAATCTGTTTTAAGCTTTCATATAAAAAATACGGGTATTCATTTAATTACTTCAAGGGGCCTACCACAACCACAAGTGTTGAAACAATGTTACTTTAACCTTACATTGACTTTTCGTACCATGACGTGCCTAAAGTAAGCTTATTATAATGTTAAAACTATAATGTTTTATTGGCAGATTTGTGACTATTCATTCTCTCAGTTCGTACTATAACGCGACTTTAACATTAAAGTAATATTGTTCTTATGTCAAATTTAGCAATCTTAAAACAGTTACTCGGACGCAGTGGAAACAATATTATTTTCGAATTTATTGTCTAAATATTGATTTGTAATGATTAAAAGTTGCGTTGAACTTATTTATTTACATAAATCTGTTCAATATTTTGTTTATTTTTTTATTAGTACATAGGAAATCATTTCTCGTTAAATAAAAATACGCGATGTTTATTTCGTAAAATTAAGACAGCGACATCTATATGCTCCTTGGCGACACTAACAATTGACACTAGACTATAATTCCGAATTCACAATGTGACTATCAAGACTTAGCTTGTTTTGTTTATTTTTCTTTATGAAAATGCGGAAAAATAAATAAAAACAACATAATTTTAATAGATTTTATTATTACATACTTTTCTTTTTTAACAGTTAAAATTCTCTAATGTAAGTAACATTAAGTAGAGAGAGAGAGAGTAAGACGATTCGAAACATCAAAAAAGAAAGAGATGGCATTAATAGTTCATACAGCGTTATTTCTTTCCTATTTTTAGAAAGGGATAGACAATATTGGGAAATCATTCATTCTTTCAATCACTTTAGCAATAATACATTACTTGGTTGACAAATTTGTCATGGTACGAATATAATAAGCTTACATTGAAATAATATTGTTTTTGGAAAGGCTATGGTAGGCCCCCAGATATCGCAACTGTACTACTAGAGTTCTAAGATTTAATTATATGTATGATGCAATTAAGGTTCCTTTATTACTGTTTATTTTAATATTATTATACGCCACCTTAATTTGGTTATATTTGTTTTTATGTCGTTTTTTGTTTCTTTATTTTTTCTCGAAATTCGTTTTGTTTGTTTTTTCCGAATTTTGTTTTGTTGTGTCTTTATTTTTTTCACAAATTCAGGGAGAGTAATATTAGTATCTAAAATAAAGCTGTTTACATCGAAAACAGGAAATAACCAAAAAAGTGAATTGGCGTAGTGCTCATTTCAGTTGTCGACTAGTTCTACTTGTATTACGTTAAGTTGTAATTAAATAAATTTTACATTTATCTTTAAATTTTATCTTTATCCCTCCCCTGTATCAAACCGTTGCATTGGGCCAACGTGGTCGCTAAATAATTATCATAAATTCACGTTTCAGTTCACGTTTTTGACATTATTGTGCCATTGCCACATGAGATATATTTAATTACTGGCACTGGAGCAATGGTACCATGGATCCAAGAATAAATAAACAAACAAACTTACCTTCGACATTCAACTTGATAGTCCGTATAATGTGCTCCGTCCCCAAGGCGTCAGAATGAACGTCGCAGACTAGTGTGCCTCCTAGCTCCGCTCGGGTCACAGTCAGCATCAGCGTGTGGATAACAGTTTGGTTGTCCGGTGTTGTTGTTTGAGCTGAAACAAGGAATTATATTTTGGAATGTAAATCGCGTATATTTGTTTTACATTGGCCCTTTGCAAGTCTCATGGCCACGGCTGTCTCACCAGTCAGCCAGTCGTGAAAACCTTCGACAAACATATAACACAGAAAAATCCGGTGGGACTTGAATCCACGACCATGCTGCATTTCTTATTTTCTTAACCTGTGGTTCAGTTGGTAAGAGCAATAATTATGGATTCGGATGTTACTTTGCGGAAGTCCACGTTAATAAAAGTGGAAGTAAATTACTTTGCTACTCCGCGACCCCGGTGAAGGTTAAAACGGACAAAATGGCTGCGCTAGTGTTGAATATTTTTTCAATTAAAAAATTAACTGCATGTAAAAATGTTAATAAAATAAAATGGAGCAATGCTACGGTGACCTGTAGCTCAGTTGGTAAGAGCTATGCTACGGTGCAGCATGGTCATGGTTTCAAGTCCCACCGGGTCGAAGAATTTTTCTAAGTGTTCAACTTTTTTGTTAATAATCATAATAAAACTAGTGGAGTTATTTGAGAAAAAATCTCAATAACAAATTCGACAAATATATTTTTATATAATAAGTATCAAGTGATGGGGTAACCACCCATAGCAGATTAATGAAAATCAGATCACTGTTACGCTGACCTCCTTATTATAACTAACGTAATCGACATTTTTAGCGAAGTTGAGTTATTAACAAATCTGTGATCAGCGAAACCAGATCTTATTATCCTTTTTTTATACCTTAATTAGTTTCAGTTATATATTGTTAAGAAAAATCAGCGTAATCTAAAATCTTTTAGGTTTTTTTACGAATGTAAAAAATACGTGAAATATGTGGTAATATGAATGTGAAAAATTACGAATTTTTTGAACGAATGTCCGCAGTACTACTCATAGCTTTAAATCTCAAAGATCTGCGACGCACTGCCATTGCGCCCGTCACTTTAAGACATAAATCGAAAAATCTCATGTGCCTGTAATTTCACCAGCACCCTTACTTTTCCAAACCGGAACGCAGTAATGTTCAAATTTCTGCTTGACGGCAGAAATAGGTAAGTGGCAGTACTTTCCTGGACGAGCTCCTTTCCTGTTGTTTAACCAGTTTAAAAAGCTGTGGCAGACTAATCGTTCACACGGCATTGCAATGTATGCGTTTTTTGTAGTATAAAGGACGTGTGAACGGTTCGGTTATAATGTACGCGCCACTGTTTATTCGGTTCGGATTTATCACAGAACAATAATTACAGTAGAAATGGTTAGTTAGCGTCTCACACGTGAGATCTACTTGAGCTCAGTCGATCATTTGCGCTTTGTATGGTATGGTTGTATCATTTTTTGCGCAAATTCTCTAAAATCGCAGAAAATTGTTTCGTTTTATTGTGCTGTTTTGGAGTGCAAAATGGCAGCCGCACCAAAAATATTATCCGTAGTAGTATTTCATATCATTGGTAAGTTTTATTTTAATAAATTTTCAATTTTCTGTTTATTGAACTGATTCAGATGTTAATCGTTCGTCGTAGTCCAGCTACTGGCCGCAAGATGGCAGCATGTTGAATAAAATTTTTATGTAAAATCAAAACGTCGTAACTTGCAATGGAGGTATTGATGAACTTTCAACGATATAGCAATTGAGTAAAGTTTAAATTATATTAACAATGAGCTATGACCAATCATTATCAAGATTTCGTAGTGTTTATCGTTTGGTTTTGCGCGTTTTGGCGACAGCGGTTCCGAAAGTAATCGAAGACTAAGGCACTTCCTTTGTTTTTTTTTTCCGTGGGATTCATATTGCAAAAAACGTTCAGTGCAATGCCATGTGAACGGGGGTGTCGGTATGACCTACTGCCTCTCTAGCAGAGAGCGTATCCAAATCCGGTCTGGCACTTTTGAGTTAATCCGAATTTAATGCAAAATTTAATTTTGAGATTTACCACGGCTTTTCATCAAGTTTCGTAATAAAATGATTCGAATGCACTTTAAATTATTGATTAAATGCAAGTTTTAACATTACATATTATTTATTATTGCATTAGTACATTATTAGGCAGAGGCCGGGAAGTAAGGGATTGCTGGACAAGTATGACTTACAAGGACGAGCGCCAGCGAAGCCAAGTATTAATACGAGTCAAGCAATCTCCGTTCCCGACGAGGCATGTATAGTTCAAACAATGTGAGGAAGAAGTAACTAGAAAAAGTAAAAACATATTATATATATTAGTGTTAGGACAATTGCTAACAGAAAATATTGTTTTTCCAGGTATATTAATAATATTCTGCTGAACTTCTGCTGATCTGTTTATATAAACATTTTCGTTATCGCTCTTCTCACTGGCACTCATTTTCGCGACCCAAATATAAAAAAAAACGAAGAAACAAGACAATAGCAAAACACTTTAATTTAAATGTTACCGCCATTTTCTTTTTTTTAAGTAAGCGGTACAGATAGGTATTTTTAACTCTCGCGAACACTGGGAAGTTGGCTGTAGGAGTTTTTCTTTTGCCTGTTTACATACTTCATTACTAGTAGGTAGATTTAAACGTTTAGAGAAGTTGACAGTCGTTTTTCATACTTACTTGGCAGGCCTTGGCCGGAAAGAAGTCGCACGGTCCATAAATGACAAACTTACTATATTCGTTTTTTGGAAGCAATTCAACAACAACAACAACAACAAGCAACATTTCCGAGCATGTTTGAGAAAAATATATAACCTGCTTGGAGGCAGAATACGAACACGTTTACACAGAGCTGCTATTAAACTTGACTACTTACTATCGAAAGTGAAACTCATTGACAAATCTCTTCAACAAATTGAGGCAAAGGCTCTGGTTGGTTGTAGTAGCCAAGTTTGTATTGCGAAGTGTCCACTTGTAAACGAATTAAACTTGACCCCTATAGTTCTAAATTACAATATTATTGGTTTGGGAAATATACCACACAAAGTAAATGTCAGAGCCTTCTTGTTGGTATTGTAGGAGAACTTGAACAAATTAACTAACTCCGCACTTAAAAGACCCTAAGTACATATTGATTATTTATTAAGAACAGGTTAGAAAAATTCTATACTATAGAAAATACAGGGAAACTGTTTTAAGAATTATTAGGTCTTTTGAATTTTTATTGAATTGATATTCAAATATTTTTTGTAAAATTACTCCACTAGTTTGTTATAATTATTAATACAAAAATTGAACATTCAGAAAAAAATCCTTCGAACCGGCCGGATTCGAACCGACGTCTTTTCACCAAGGCTGATACTGTAAAGGTATCTAACTGGGTGATAAAACTTTCATAGATTTCTCATGGATGGCGCTACGACTAAAAAGTCGTTGAAAAACCAAATACAAAATCACGACAACAAGCACATAGAAAAATTCGCGAGGTCCGCTGGTTCGTTCCGTGGTTTAGTTGGTATAACGTCTGGCACGGTATGCTAGAAGCCGTCGGTTCGAATCCGGCCGGATCGAATAATTTTTTTCTGAGTGTTCGATCTTTGTATTAATTATAACACATTAGGTCTTTTTTGTAAAAACAAACTTGACAATTTTTTGAACAAGTGTGAGTTGAAAATGAAAATGAATAATATTGACATTTCTTCTTAATGCTTCAGACTCAGTTTCTTGTAAGGAACGTTTCATTGTATCGAATAGAAAAGGAGACAAACAGTAACACACATACAAAATAGAATATTTCCCACATTTTGTTACTAACTCATCAATGATAAAGAAAAAATGCCGATGTCTTTCAATTTGTTCCTATAATACCCACACGAGAGTCGAATAAATATGTTACGAATATTTATGTTTTTTTTTAACGCACACCCTCCCCCGCAGTAGAGAAACCCTGTGTCGTGGTCGTGGATGCCTTGAACATACACATAGCCAACGATAAATTACACTCAAATTCTCGAAAGAACTTAATGTAGGCCGTGCAAATATTTCTTCCGACCCGGAACTTAAACCATGAACATCTGCGTGGCAGACCAGCATTTTAACCGTTTGGCTAGCCAGGATCCAGTGTTGATCATATACTTATCATTGATTGTTGACGATTGAGATGTGTTTATTACGCATTGTTACCGGCTAAAGCATTATTAAGTCCATTTATAAAATCCCGTTACTTTATCCGTATATTTTTAGCTTCAAAAATGTCTGCACCCAAATTTTATTTTCAATACGTTAAAAGCTAAAAAACCGAAGTTTCGAATTGAGTTGATATTTTTTCCAATTCAGCTCGACAGGCCCAATTTCTCTGAAACTGCGGCCCGAACGGCTCGAAATATACGGCCTGCAGATTGATGGCCTTGCCGCTGGAACAGGTGAGTGGTTGGTCCGGGAAACAGACAATTCCTACGGGTTATTTGAAGTTTGGTTCGTATATAAAAAATCCGGTTATATCGTGAGATTTTTAACAGTCTTTTTGGAAAATGAAAGCGTTAGTATTTATTATTGAGAAACACTTTATTCCAGTTAACTGTCAATGCAATTATCAACCTTACCACCTTGCCTTAACGACTAAGGTACACTTTTAATTAATCCTGACATGCACGTGTTTTCAAGGGATATAATCCACTCGTTTAAAGTCTCAAAGATTAAGATATTACGGACTGATTGTAAGACCTAAAGTTTATTGGAGACATTTTACCCTAATCATTTACCCTATCGATTTGTAGAATAAAATAGTTAGTGTTTATTTTTTGTATTTTTAGTTGGTACGATTTCTGACTCAGGTAAGCTTTGAAAGGAAACAAAACAATGTTTTCTTTACCTAGCTACCTTAAACATTTAAAGTAGTTGCCGTTCATGCTCTATTGTTTTTTTCCACCCTGTATCTCACACACACAACCGAATTTAAAATCTATAATTTTAACATTAACATTTAAATACACTTTTGATTGATACGGACATGTACGTATTTTCAAGAAAACCGGCCAATATTTCAAATGTAGAATGTCATACATACATACATATCAATTGAATATGAAATTTATCAA